GGGTCGCGGCGCGCTAATTGGTGGGACACGGTGCTCGGGGATCGCCGCGAAAATTTGACGGTCACGTGATTTATACAGCTTATTACGCAAGCTCTTCCAACATATCGCTTTAATATAAGCTCTAGCATGTCGCCGTTTCAGAAATTTCGCAAAAGTATGATCGCTCGACATGGCAAGGAATTCCAAGCAATTTGCCATCCTCAAACAACACCCCGCAGTTTGCTTTCGAAATTTTCGGCGGCCCTACGCTCCATCGATTATACCCCGTTTCGGCGAGGGTATCGCCAAATACAGTCACCCATTCATCTTCTTTAAATTGATTATGGATGCCGACATAAGCACTAAACTGGTAATTTTCAAGCAGCAAATTTTTTAGTACCTGCAATAAAAACGAAAATTTTTAACGGGGAGCCCCGTGCAATTTATATGGAATTAAAAATTATGAAAAAGCGTGGCGATCAATCGTATATTTATCATTTTTCTTCTTTTTTTTTTCTTATTCTCATTCTTTCTTTTCTTCGTTGTTTTTGTTTTTCTCTCACGAATTATCGATGCTCTGGCTGCCTTTGAAAAATTAAGTGCAAAGGGTGCTTGCGCGAGTAAGGTAAAGCCCGAAACGGATAGAACGTTAAAGAGAACGAAAAAAAAAAAAAAAAAAAAAAAAAAAAAAAAAAAAATAAAAAAGAAAAAAAGAGGGGTAAACAATTGTAATTAAGGAGTTTAATGAGCGAGTCGTTGGCCGTTGGCCGTTGGATTGGCACGATCGCCACCTGTGCCAATGCCACACTACCGCCTATCCATTATCAATCGACCATCGACCAATGATTCACTAAATGATTGGGAAACCTCGTGATAAAAATTGAGCCAGCGCGTATCGATCGAATGCCCAGTTAATCTTGACCATCCTCTGTACCACACGCGCCGCCATTAAGTATTACAATTCCGTAATAATTATTCATCTTATATACGTTTACCTTGGCCTCGTTTTCCGAATTAATTATGGCTAGACGAGCGCCGTCTTTACGGCAGGATTTTCTCGCCCCGTTCCACGTCAAATTGGCCAAATAGAACTTATGACATCCGATCCCAGATGTGCACGTATAGCCGAGTTGCGCAATGTCCGCGACCTTTACGCACCTCCAATCGTACAGACGGCTCGCATTCTCTCGCAAATTACTTATCAATTTCGAATTCACGTAACCAATACTGCTCAAAGAGGCCGAAATTTTTTCCAGCTCCAGCAGGATGTTGCCCAAGTGATTAGACGTTGAATTATTATAAGGACGATTCCGATCCGCGTCTGTAGTAGCTGCAGCCTGATCCAATGTAACGAGGCAGATAAGGGAAAGGAGCAGGTACGCGGGTCTTTTGTTGCTTTCCATTCTGCACGTGGAGAGGAACTCGTTAAAATCGCAAAACTTGCCCTCGACTAATCGATACGCATAAGCGACGCTATTCTTAGCTTAGAAGAATCTTAAAGCTTTATCAACGACTAACCTCTATCAGCCGATTTCGACAGATTTTGCATCGCCTATCTCGTCGCCGCGCTTATTATCTATCCCCACGACCTCCTATCTGCTTCTGCGTTTGACGAATAGTGTCATGACAACTAATGTCACGATTATCATTATTAGGAAAAAATCAAAAAAAAAAAAAAAAAAAAAAAAAAAAAAAACTGACGGAACAAAACAGAGTACGAATTAATATCGCCAATGCGCTTGATAATAACACAACTCGCTAAAGACTTTGTTTCTTTAGACGATTGTAACGATCGAGACTAACTTATGCATATGTATATGTGTGTGTATATATATATATATATATATATATATATATATATATATATATATATATGAAATTGAATATATATAAATTTGAATATGGTTGACCAATATGGATTATATGTGGAATCAACGGATAATTGAATAACCCGATACGTGTTCTGGCCTGCATCTTGTATAACTGGATTTAATGGACGAGCAATTTGAGCAGTTTTCGAGGATGTTAATTGAAAGTATAATTTTCAGGTGGTCATTAGCTCGGCTAAAAGGTAAATAATGTTGTTGTACGAGAATCAATAAATGCATCATCGTATTATTAAACAAAGATAATTTTAAAATAAGTGTTGTTGCGATATCTATATTTAAAGTCCTTTCTCATTTATCAAGGATAAGCAAAAACAAACAAACAAAGAAACAAATAAATAAACAAACAAAGAAGGAGTATCGATTTCGTGCGAAAGCATGAAAAAATATACTTTTATAATTTTTAATAACCGAATATAACAACGCGAAGTGTCATATATCGGTAAGTGGTTCACGAGCTCACGTGAACTTTATTTCAATTTTATCATTTTCTTTTGAAACGACTTCTCAAATAATTAGAAAATTTTTACTAACAAAAAGGCCATATCCTGCTGCACATTCGGGATAGTTTAGCCCTTTGTCTTGTGCCTTGTCCGAGCTAAATACAATGATCAGAAGTGAGATGGGAAACAAGAAGATCCGCTCTTCATGACAAAAAAAAAAAAACAAGGCAATTGTTTCTAAAATAAAAAGAATTTTAATCAATGATATTAATAAATTTTCACGCATAAGATTCTCACTCGCTCTCTCGACTTTAATTTAATTATAAAAATTCCAATGACGGTCAAACTTTCGTTTAACTTTCGTTTCAATCGATCATTTATTTACATTATCATTTACAAAGAGTCACTGTAACGAGCGACTTCGCGTACCCATATAACTTGTATATTATCATGTAAATGTGTGTCACTTTCGGGCAACTCAAATACTATATATATATATATATATATATATATATATATATATCAGAGAGAAGGGACACGCTCACGCGCAAGCGCATCACCTCTCTGAGCGATTATGCGGTTTCAGTATCGTCGATGCATTGCCCGTACCATCCGGAGTTTATATCAGCGATTCGGTCACCGAAACGAAATGGGCGTGGGCAAAGTGACCGCTTTTTCTCATGCGCTGAATGGAGCGCTGAATGGAACGCCGATGGGACGGAAGTTGCCGGGGACGTGTTGCCGATTCCCCGAGTACATTGTACAGACTCGGACGTACTCGCGATACTTGCAATTAGACTGGCCGTCGACAAGTGCCCGCCCTTGTTTTCTACCCGGGACATCGACGTCCTGACATTCGACCGCCGCGACGGCGATGGGACGATCTCGCTACTTTGATTGCCGATTTGATCGCGAAGTCATCCACTCGAATTCTATGGTAGATCGGTCAAATGGCTGTACTGGAGACGGAGCTTCGACGACAAAACTTTCACGATGCACGGCTATTTACGATCGATAACCATTGACCCCTTTTTTTTTTTGTGAGATTCTCCAGTTCCCTAATAATCATAATAATGCGCCTGGGTTCTTATTTGGGAGCGGACGGAGGTAGCCGATGGCTTGAAAAAAAAATCTTCGATATTAATTAATGGGTCGATTGAGTTTTTACGCAATTACACATAAGTTTTCATCTTTAACTTTGATGATAGTAAGTTTTTTTTTTTTTTTTTTTTTTTTTTTTTTTTTTTTTTTTACAAACTTTTGCGAAGAACAATAAATTGTTTACAAAAGGTCGCCCCTTTATTTTTTATAAAAACTAAACAATTTTCGTTCTTACAAAGTATTCTATTCTGAATATTTTATTTCAATGTTTGTATACGAGTTCTTTAAATTGAAGAATATGATGATATTATCTTTTCTATTACCGTGTAAAGATATTTTTTAATTTCATTGTTCGTATAATTGAAACTGCGATTTGGTATAAATAATACTTAAAATATAATAATCAGCTTTGAATTTCATAGGAATCTAATATTAATATCTCTCTCACTCTTCCACTCTCACTCTTATCTAATAACAATCAATGAATATGAACGCTAATTCAAATTTTAAACAAAGTTAAATGCGCCATTATTATATCATGCGATAATTACCGTACAAAGTTGATTGGGAAATGCAGGTGTGTGTTTCGGTATTGAATAACTAATGTGACGAGTACAACTTTATTGTAATTATAACAACAGCTTGTACGAGCAATAGTGTCACGTTACGCGACAAGTAGTGTAACAATAATACGCCAAAGTTTGCATCTGCGCGTGTGCCATATTAGATTAAGCATCGACGTATTTTTCAATTTAACCAAATAAGCGAAAATAAGGGGACAAACGACCCGATAAACGACTTTTGAGACGATCGCCAACCTAATCGATACGTTTTTTTATGTTACAGGTGAGTCATCCTAGCGCATTTGCACGCATCTTATGTAAATTTGCGCCAGTACTTTTTTGTTAATATGGCCGGCGAAATATGGAAATCCACAAACCCGCGCACTTCAATTTCATCGTAAGTATATAACGCGAGCCCGCGCATTAACGGCGGGTGCATTTTAAATTTCTTTCGCGTTATCGCGTGCGAGCGCACGCCGAATGAATACCAAAGCCTGGATAAAAGGACGGAGGTGAATACTCTCTCTCTCTCTCTCTCTCTCTCTATCTCTCTCTATCTCTATCTCTATCTCTATCTCTATCTCTATCTCGCTATCTCGGCTCGTTGCCCCACCCCAGCCATTGCCACGCGTATTTCGAGTAAAATGCAATGAAATCGCTGCATTGGAAATTCGTGAAATGGCCGCGATAGGAATTTTACGTGATCGGTGACGTCGAGACTGAGAGCGGACATCCGGCAAGCGTTCTACGAATAGCAAATGCGCGATTCTTTCGGAGATGCGTTTTAATCTGAAACCGCGAAGAGGAGGCGACGGCCAGCTGTTATTTTGCCGACGTAACCTTGTCTCTTAATTAAAACGCTCCTTCAACCTATCGTATGTTGCCCTTCCGATCGATACACTGACGTACATCATCCCTCCCCTCCCGCCCCCCCCCCCCCCCCCCCCCCCCCCCACCCCCTCCCCTACCACGACCTCCATCTATTTTAGCGCACTTGGTTTCATCGTCGGGCTGTCATATCGGTATGATACCCAGATGTTAATGAGTCCCGGATGCTTTATGTGCTGTGCTGAGACGTCGGTCTGCTTGTCGTTTTTCCCTAACCGATGTTGAGCGGCCCAAGACGTTCGATAAACTTGTCCACGTGTATTATTGATTATTTTCGCGCGATACTATTGGCAATTTTATTTTTCTTGTCCTCGCACGACCACAATTATTATAAGCCCTAACAATTTTACAATTTGCGCAACGATCAAACTTTTGTTAATTCTATCGAGCATACCGTATGGATGATGCGAAGCTCATCTCACATCGAGATTACGATACGAATGAAAGAAGTAGAAAATGAAATTCCCTTAGTGGCGAATTTATTTGAGTAGTAAACGATTTCGTTTTTCGTTCCCTACCTCATAGTTATAATTTAACTTTAGCTTTCTTTTAATCGTAATATCTATTCATAGATTTAGTCACAAAGGTTTAAAATTGGATAAATTCTTACATTCTTTAATGATAAAAAATAAAAAAAAATAAAAAAATAAAAAAAAAAGAAAAATAAAAAAAAAGTGGTAAAGGAGAGAAGATATGGAGGGAGAGAGGAAAAAAAATGCGCCAGTGTGGTGAATTATTACCGGTGAGAATTAAATAGAAGCTTTGTGCGCAGTCACAATTGCTTTATTACCGAAAATTAATTTAGCACTGTAAATCTTCGTGATATATATTTAAGTCTTTTAAAACTGGAGGCTAAATTTATCAGTTTTAGGTCGAAAGGTTAAATAAACAGGTATATTTTAATCGTATGCTTAACGTCTGAATAATTTACAAAATCGGTAAGTAGATTTAAAAAAAAAAAAAAAAAAATCAAACCAAGTAGTCGCTTAAGCGCATATAACGAAAGGTCCTGAATAATAGTCGCTCGGGCACGCCTTTAATCATTATATTCCTTATAGTACAGCGTCGACGTCCGGCGAGAATTCTTATTATTATTTTTCCGTAGCAAAAGATAATATCGTCGAATGTAGTTGAGCATTTTCAATTCGGCTAGTGTATCGCGCTATTTAATGATCGGATATGGCCAAATTTTCTCACGTCATCCAACATTATCATTAACTCTTTTCTCAACATCCATCCGACTAAAATTACTTGGCATTATTATGCTCATGAAAGCTACGAGTACGCGAAAATTTCCTAATAAACCAAAGTGAATTCGATAGCTTGAGAGCTTGACACTTGGCGGCATCGAAGCGAAACGCACGCCCAAGCATTCGGAGGACGAAGCAGCTTCATCCCCATTTCCTACACGAACACTCGACTGTATCGGGAGCACGGAACAAGCAGTTTCATTAACAGTGTGCGCTTTTGTGCGTGCGCGTGCGCGTGCGTGCGCGTGCGTGTATGCGTGTGTGCGCGGGGG